TAAAGCTAAAGTCAAACTTAAAAATATTCCTAGGCCTAATATATATATATATATATATATATATATATATATATATATATATATATATATATATATATATATATATATTATAATGGACCTCGGATAATGTTTATTAGGCCTATTATTACGAGGAGAGGTTAGGTTAGGTCTTTCATTTATCTTGCTGTTAAAAACTTTGCGGTTTTCCATAGTCAACAATACAGAAGTCAACTCCCTGCTGGTCCATCACAACATGCTGCCTTTTAACCAGTTACTAAAAGTACTTTCATTTTAGGATAATGGCCTTTTATAGAGCACATATTATTTCAGTAGGCTTCAATGCACGTATACTAGGCTACAAACACTTATATTAGGCCATAGAGCATAAATACTAGCCTACAGGACACAAATAATATGCTTCAGCACAAATAATTTGCTACAGATCAAAACAGTAGACTGCGGAGCTCATGCTAAGCTATGTATAGTTAACTTGGCAAAGTTACATTTTTAATTACATATTCTATACAAGTAACGTACCATTGTTGTTCAGAGACCTCCCACTAGGGCGGCGCTCTGTGAAAATCATCGTTAGACGCATTGTTTATAACCCGTCCTCTGCGTTTCACCTGTGGGCATCGCATTTTGACGCTTATTTCCCCCTAAGGCCAAAAACTGAAGTAATAAATATCATAAAGGCTTGCAAAACTGACGTGATGTCCCGTTTTCTATTCGTGGGTCCTTGGTTAGGTTCGGGCAATTTAGTACCTCAGTTTAGTCAGGTTGGGATCGCTCGAGAGGATGGGCCGGATAAACAGCTTAAGCTAGTCTAGCACTCTGAACCACTCTGCTACCTTGATTTGTACTCACTGTTAGAGTAACTCCTTACGGCAAGAGGAGGCCATCTTTCGCCTGACCCACAGCAGCTGCACCGTCGTCAGCCTATCTTGAGGTTATCTTGAGATGATTTCGGGGCTTTAGTGTCCCCGCGGCCCGGTCCTCGACCAAGCCTCCATCCCCAGGAAGCAGCCCGTGACAGCTGACTAACACCCAGGTACCTATTTTACTACTAGGTAACAGGGGCATAGGGTGAAAGAAACTCTGCCCATTGTTTCTCTCCGGCGCCTGGGATCGAACCCAGGACCACAGGATCACAAGCCCAGCGTGCTGTCCGCTCGGCCGACCGGCTCCCTAAAGCCAGCCTAGCCGTCGTTTAACAATCACAGCTCCCTCAGATAAATCACATCTTTCTACACTTAAAGGCATGGCAAGTTAATAACCTACACCGTTTTCACAACTAATAGGTCGCGTTTTTTCACATTATAGTAACCAATATCACAAAATGCAACCTATTAAGTATCGGCTCACAAATATCCAAGCTTTTAATTTATCATCTCGATAGGTTAGGTTTTGTAACGTTTCTGGTTATGTTAAGAGATTGCATTTTTCACATAGTGGAAAAGTACAGTGACACACTTTAAGTCCTTATCATAAAAATTCCTGCGTGGTGTTATGTGATCAAGACCTAATTACGGGGTGAAGATGAGATCACCAGTGTTCCACGGTCAGGTAGTCTGCCACTTAGGAAAAAAAATAATATATAAATTGTTTTTTCACGCACGATAACTTCACTTAATGAGGCCACAAGTAGCATGTGACAAGAATGATTGCGATATTACCAATTCGTGATTTCATATATCTAATATACTTGGACTATTCTTCAACTGTTCTTGTAAGGGTTGTCTGCAAATGTTCTTGTAAGGGGTAGTCTTCAACTGTTCTTGTAAGGGTAGTTTTCACCTGCTCTAGTGATGTTCATCTGTTCTATTGAAAGAGGTTCAACCGCTCGTTTGTGTCGGAGAGGGAGGAGGGTCATCATTCACAGTGTACTTTGCAATATCTTCTTTGTATAACTGTGTTTATTATTCACCCAGCTGAATTTCATGTGCTTTAACGTACTGTACAAACGTGTAGTAGATGAGAGTGTTACCAGAGAGTAATAACTGTTTGCAGCGTTTGCTTTACACGTCGTAACATGTATGTTGCGGCGTTTGCTTTACACGTCACAACATGTATGTTGCGGCGTTTGCTTTACACGTCACAACATGTATGTTGCGGCGTTTGCTTTACACGTCACAACATGTATGTTGCGGCGTTTGGTTTACACGTCACAACATGTTGCGGCGTTTGCTTTACACGTCACAACATGTATGTTGCAGCGTTTGCTTTACACGTCGTAACATGTATGTTGCGGCGTTTGGTTTACACCTCACAACATGTATGTTGCGGCGTTTGCTTTACACGTCACAACATGCATGTTGCGCTGTTTTGTGTGTGTTACCGTAAGTCACAGCGCAGTATGGTTTTTGCGTTGTAACAGGTTTGTGGCGCTGTTTATGATGTGAAGTTGGTATTGCTGTTATTTTGATCAGTTATCGCGCAGTCACTCTTCCAACATTTGTGTTTCGCCAAGCGAAGGTATGATATGTTAAAAAGAATGCGTCCCAGCGAGGTGGCTTCACCGCCAATATTGTGTAGTGCCAAGTACACTGGCTGCCCACCAGTGCTCATACCCACGGCCACCCCGACTGCCCACCAGTGCTCATGTCCACGGCCACCCCGGCTGCCCACCAGTGCTCATGTCCACGGCTGCCCACCAGTGCTCATACCCACGGCTGCCCACCAGTGCTCATACCCACGGCCACCCCAGCTGCCTGGTTACCTGGTTGATACCTGGTTGATGGGGTTCTGGGAGTTCTTCTACTCCCCAAGCCCGGCCCGAGGCCAGGCTCGACTTGTGAGAGTTTGGTCCACCAGGCTGTTGCTTGGAGCGGCCCGCAGGCCCACATACCCACCACAGCCCGGTTGGTCCGGCACTCCTTGGAGGAATAAATCTAGTTTCCTCTTGAAAATGTCCACGGTTGTTCCGGCAATATTTCTTATGCTTGCTGGGAGGACGTTGAACAACCGCGGACCTCTGATGTTTATACAGTGTTCTCTGATTGTGCCTATGGCACCTCTGCTCTTCATTGGTTCTATTCTACATTTTCTTCCATGTCGTTCACTCCAGTACGTTGTTATTTTACTGTGTAGATTTGGTACTGGTGGCTGCCCACCAGTACTCATACCCACGGCCACCCCAGCTGCCCACCAGTGTTCATACCGACGACCACCCCGGCTGCCCACCAGTACTCATACCCACGGCCACCCCGGCTGCCCACCAGTGCTCATATCCACGGCCATTCCGGCTGCCCACCAGTGCTCATACCCACGGCTGCCCATCAATGCTCATACCCACGGCTGCCCACCAGTGTTCATACCCACGGCTGCCTACCAGTGCTCATACCCACGGCTGCCCACCAGTGCTCATTCCCACGGCTGCCCACCAGTGCTCATTCCCACGGCTGCCCACCAGTGCTCATACCCACGGCTGCCCACCAGTACTCATACCCAAGGTCACCACGGCTGCCCACCAGTGCTCATACCCACGGCTGCCCACCAGTACTCATACCCAAGGTCACCACGGCTACCCACCAGTGCTCATACCCACGGCCGCCACGCTGCCCACCAGTGCTCATACCCACGGCCGCCACGCTGCCCACCAGTGCTCATACCCACGGCCGCCACGCTGCCCACCAGTGCTCATACCCACGGCCGCCACGCTGCCCACCAGTGCTCATACCCACGGCCGCCACGCTGCCCACCAGTGCTCATACCCACGGCCGCCACGCTGCCCACCAATATTCATACCCCCACCACACTGCTTAACAATGTTCTTGAATACATTGTTTATAGATACAGCAGTCTGTATTAATTAAAGACCCCACAAACATAAGCTTGATGGTTCCAAATGAGGTTAGGTTGCTAGTGATCACCCCCACCCTCCCAACCCCCTCCCTAGCGAACACCCTCCCAACCCCCTCCCTAGCGAACACCCTCCCAACCCCCTCCCTAGCGAACACCCTCCCCCCCCCCCCCCCTCCCCCAAATCCTCTCTCACCCCCAAGGTCGGCCCAGCACCCTGCTGTGAGGGCGGACTAGCGCTCTGCCCTGACCTCACCTCCTGCCGACCCCTGACCTTACAACAAAAAGGTTTGGGGTGAAGGTGTCAAGCCGGGCCAGGTAGTTAATGGTTATTTGACTATGTTATACAGAAAAAAAAGGTGAACGCCCAGCCCTATACCTCGTGACGCCGCACTCTCACTCTCTCCCTCTATGCTACATCTTGCTGTGTCCTCGACACCTCCATAAACATTGCATCCGATTCATTATTAATAACGGCTCATTATTAATACAGATCCAGGCTGAATCGTTCATATGACCAGCAGACATCCTGCCAAACGCATGTCACTTTTTATGCTGCGTCAACCAAGCCAAAGTCGGATGCTTTGATCTTAAGTTCTCATCGTGTAAGCAGTAAAATACCTTCTGTGAGGCTCAACGCTGGTGGAGTCAAATCTCCTGTGCCAGGTGAGCATGACGGGCTCACCATAGCCCGTGCTGCTTGCAACTTTTTGTTCCCAGTAGCTGAATAAATGAAAACATTTAAAACAGCTGGCGGAGTGGCGCTGTCCAATACTCCACTCACAATGTTAAATACCAATGAACCAATAAACAGTACTCATTAATATATCTATAATTATATTATTTACTTCATAGATAATTACTGTGTATGAGGAGCAGAGAAAAATGGTTAAGCTACACGTATCAGCGCCTTGGTAAAAGGCTACAGTTTGGTATACAAGTTGCTCTCGAGAGGTTAATAGGAATTCCGGTAATCGGCAGCACCTCCATCGCATATATAATGCTGCAAAACTGGTTCTCCCAATCTCGGTAAAAGATTCATTGCAAGCCTATTACCATAAAAACTGGTGCACTAAGTTGCACGTACCGTTATCGCACAAATAAATGCTCTTTATCTGCTGTTAACGCACACTCCTGCGTGATTTATGATTACACAGTTTCAAGGAATCATTACAACTAACAATAACGACAGGTCAAGGACTCCCTCTCAAACCTTAAAATGAATACATTAAGACATGGTATGGTGGACGGAGTGGTGGCGCGGAGGCCGTGCTCACGCCACGCTTGCTGCCTACCTTCCAGCCGGCGGAGGAGTTGGAGTCGCCCTTGTCCTTGAAGTACGGCACATTCTGCACCATCCAGTCATAGATCTGGGAGAGCGTGGCGCGTCCCTCGGGCGACGACATTATGGCCTGAGCGATGAGGTCGGCGTAGGACATGTTGCCCCACGGGTTGCGGCGGGAAGTGTTCTTCTTAGGAGGGCCGCCCGAGGGGTCGCCCGGCCCGCCTATAGTGCCCGGAGGCCGCGATTGATCCACTGGCATAGGGCCCTCGGCGGCTACCGCAAAGGGCTCCTCGCCCTCCATGTAGCCCTCGGGGCACGGCTGCGGCCACGTGTTGGCACGAGAACGGGCCACGGGCTCAAAGTTTGGGTCAATCTCAATTCGACGGATGGGTGGAGGCTGGTGGGTGGTTGGCGTTACGGGCGTAAGAGGCATCCCCGCCTGTAGTGGCGGACCGCCCACGTGCCGCCCACCCCCACCTGGGGGCGTGTGACCACCCATACCCACACTAGTGGGTGGTAGTGCCACGGGCGTAGTTTCCATATCGTGCCCCGTATCTGGTTCCTCTTTCACTAACGAAAAGAAACTTGAAGCCATGTTGTAAACGCAGAATAATAATGACACTAAGTAAGAGTGAAGTAGGTGATGACACAGTGATGAAGCTGACACGCGCGTCACCGGGGCCCGGGGCGGGTGAACATGATCATCACACACAGGAGCACGCGTCCTCAGGCTACGCGGCCCACCGACTGACTGACGACTTCACCGACACACCGCGCCATGCCGCCTCGCGCCACCAGAGCGGCGCCACTAGCCACGACCTCCTCCACCGTATTACACCTCAACTCTAACCCTAACTTCACAATACACTCGGCAACTAATGCAAAAATGCTCATTTAATGCTTATTTATGAGTGTATCATCATGTAGGAAAACAAAGTTTCTGTTAAGTGCGCATCGGCCCAGCTAGTGCCGACTTGCACAGGTACACCCGGCAGACGTCGACCCAGAGGTCGCCAGACCTGCCCTCAACTCATACCATACACTGCCCACAACATACACTCTGCTTTCACCATACACTCAGGCCACATCATACATCTAGCTCATACATTATACTCGCACCACACACTCAACCCACACTATACTCTGCCACACCATACGCTTAAACCACACTATACACTTAACCCCACACCATACCCCCCCCCACTCACACTATACACCCAACTCACACCATATACTCCACACACACCCTACACCCAGCCCATATACACTTTTCACGCCATGAACGTAAACCATACAGACCATACAATATAAACACAACCCACCATACACGTATTCACATCACATACCCCGCACCATACACACTTCCCTACACTATACACACCACACCATAGACATATCCCAACAATATACACACCACACATCATACGCGCAGAACACCATACACAACCCACAATATACACCCCCCACCATACACATCCCACATCATAGACACCCCAAACCATACACACCCAACACCATACAGGCACGCCATACCCCCCACACCGTGTACACCTAATACCACATACATCCCCACACCCCTAACACCATACATCCCTACATTATATGCACCAAACACCATACTCGCTCCCACATTATACATACCCCACACACCATACACACTCCACACCATCCATATACATCCAACACCATACACGTCCCCACATTATACACATTATACAGAATGAAGATCCGCATTCTACTTTGCTCTGATGAAGGCAAATTAGCCAAAAACACGTTAAGCATCTATTTTTCATATGTGGTTATTCTGCATATATATATATATATATATATATATATATATATATATATATATATATATATATATATATATATATATATATATATAATGTTATACCTAGTAGCCAGAACGTCGTACTTGGCCTACTATGCAAGGCCCGATTTCCCTAATAAGCCAAGTTTTCCTGAATTTATATACTTTTCAAAAAATTTTCTTATGAAATGATAAATCTGTCCATTTCATTATGTATAAGTTAATTTGTTTAAATTTGAGTTAAAACTAATGTAGATATATGACCGAACCTAACCAACACTACCTAACTTAACCTAACCTATCTTAACCTAATCTTAACTAACACAACTAAGTCAATAAATTATGTTCCTAATATAAAAATAATAATTCCAATAAACTTATTGGAATTCATGTGAGGGAAAGTTAGTTTATTTGAATTATTATTATATTAAGACCATAATTTATTGACTTAGTTATGTTAGTTTGGGTTAGGCTAAGATAGGTTAGGTTAGGTTAAGTTAGGTAGTGTTGGTTAGGTTCGGTCATATATCTACGCTAGTTTTAACTCAAATTTAAACAAACTAACTTATACATAATGAAATGGACAGATTTATCATTTCATAAGAAAAAATTAGAAAAATATATAAATTCAGGAAAACTTGGCCTATTAGGCAAATCGGGCCTTGCATAGTAGGCCGAGTACGACGTTCTGGCTACTAGGTACAACATATATATATATATATATATATATATATATATATATATATATATATATATATATATATATATATGTCGTACCTAGTAGCCAGAACGCACTTCTCAGCCTACTATGCAAGGCCCGATTTGCCTAATAAGCCAAGTTTTAATGAACTAATGCTTTTTCGACTACCTAACCTACCTAACCTAACCTAACATTTTGGGCTACCTAACCTAACCTATAAAGATAGGTTAGGTTAGGTAGGGTTGGTTAGGTTCGGTCATATATCTACGTTAATTTTAACTCCAATAAAAAAAATTGACCTCATACATAATGAAATGGGTAGCTTTATCATTTCATAAGAAAAAAATTAGAGAAAATATATTAATTCAGGAAAACTTGGCTTATTAGGCAAATCGGGCCTTGTATAGTAGGCCGAGAAGTGCATTCTGGCTACTAGGTACGACATATATATATATATATATATATATATATATTAGTATATTTTGGTAGCAGTCTTTCCTGTAGACATATATTATTAAATATGACCGAAAAAGTAAGATTAATAATTCTAACACGAATTTTCTCAATCTTTCGTACATTACGCTTCACTGTTGGAGGTAAATCAAAAATCAATTCTCCAAAATTCATTTTTATTTCTAGTCTGACGCGACACGGGCGCGTTTCGTAAAACTTATTACATTTTCAAAGACTTTAGTTCACAAATACACAACTGAATAGAACTTACGTATCTCCGATTTTATATCTACATTTGAGTGAGGTGGAAGGGGTGATGTGGCATTAACACAAGACAGAACAAAATGTGGTATTAATAGGGTATTAATTTCATCAACACAAGACAGAACAAGGGTATTAATAGGGTATTAATTTCATCAACACAAGACAGAACACGAAACAATGGATATTGAATAGAAGTGTTTGTAGAAAGCCTATTGGTCAATATTTCTTGATGCTTCTATATTGGAGCGGAGTCTTGAGGTGGGTAGAACCTCAAGACTCCGCTCCAATATAGAAGCATCAAGAAATATGGACCAATAGGCTTTCTACAAACACTTCTATTCAATATCCATTGTTTCGTGTTCTGTCTTGTGTTGATGAAATTAATACCCTATTAATACCCTTGTTCTGTCTTGTGTTGATGAAATTAATACCCTATTAATACCACATTTTGTTCTGTCTTGTGTTAATGCCACATCACCCCTTCCACCTCACTCAAATGTAGATATAAAATCGGAGATACGTAAGTTCTATTCAGTTGTGTATTTGTGAACTAAAGTCTTTGAAAATGTAATAAGTTTTACGAAACGCGCCCGTGTCGCGTCAGACTAGAAATAAAAATGAATTTTGGAGAATTGATTTTTGATTTACCTCCAACAGTGAAGCGTAATGTACGAAAGATTGAGAAAATTCGTGTTAGAATTATTAATCTTACTTTATATATATATATATATGTCGTACCTAGTAGCCATAATGCACTTCTCGGCTTACTATGCAAGGCCCGATTTGCATAATAAGCCAAGTTTTCTTGAATTAATATATTTTCTCTAATTTTTTTCTTATGAAATGATAAAGCTACCCATTTCATTATATATGAGGTCAATTTTTTTATTGGAGTTAAAATTAACGTAGATATAGGACCGAACCTAACCAACCCTACCTAACCTAACCTAACCCATCTTTATAGGTTAGGTTAGGTTAGGTAGCCGAAAAAGTTAGGTTAGGTTAGGTAGTCGAAAAACAATTAAATCATGAAAACTTGGCTTATTAGGCAAATTGGGCCTTGCATAGTAGGCAGAGAAGTGCGTTCTGGCTACTAGGCACGACATATATATATATATATATATATATATATATATATATATATATATATATATATATATATATATATATGATCGATGTTCCCTTCGGGAATCTTAATTTTAAGATGAATAGGAAAACCAGGGATATACTGAACATCTTGTATCAGAATCTTTACTTTAAAAAACATAACGTTTCGAATACTTCTCGTATTCATCATCAGATCTAAAAGAAAAAACAGAAATCACAATCAAATAGCTGGTAAACAAAGAACTCATACTGAATATAATTGCCTATCAAAGAAAGGAAAATGCTTAAACAAAACACTTAAGCGCACTTAAAGTGATCAATACAAATAAAACTTATTAACTGTCACATATATTAAAACTAATTTAAAATCCATTAAACTACAAGATGAAATTTATGACTACTAAAACAAACCATTCCATTAAACTTACGTGAAGTGATCAGAAGTGAAACTTGATACCCAACACATAGATACTAAACACTATAACAAATATTTATATAATGACTACAAATCTACAAAAAATGTATGTAAAATACAAACAGAATAAACGACAATTATAAAGTACTAACCAAAATCTTATAAAAAACTCAAATATTAAATAAAATTAAATACCAAAAATGTATTATATATCCTAAATAAAAGATTATATTAATGTACAATGTTAAGACTTGAAATAAGTAAGAAAGGGCAAAGACATGGTAAACTAAACAAAATTAAACTACCAAATTTGATTTTTAGTTTATTTTGGTAGTTTAATTTTGTTTAGTTTACCATGTCTTTGCCCTTTCTTACTTATTTCAAGTCTTAACATTGTACATTAATATAATCTTTTATTTAGGATATATAATACATTTTTGGTATTTAATTTTATTTAATATTTGAGTTTTTTATAAGATTTTGGTTAGTACTTTATAATTGTCGTTTATTCTGGTTGTATTTTACATACATTTTTTGTAGATTTGTAGTTATTATATAAATATTTGTTATAGTGTTTAGTATCTATGTGTTAGGTATCAAGTTTCACTTCTGATCACTTCACGTAAGTTTAATGGAATGGTTTGTTTTAGTAGTTATAAATTTCATCTTGTAGTTTAATGGATTTTAAATTAGTTTTAATATATGTGACAGTTAATAAGTTTTATTTGTATTGATCACTTTAAGTGCGCTTAAGTGTTTTGTTTTTTAATCATTTTCCTTTCTTTGATAGGCAATTATATTCAGTATGAGTTCTTTGTTTACCAGCTATTTGATTGTGATTTCTGTTTTTTTCTTTTAGATCTGATGATGAATACGAGAAGTATTCGAAACGTTATGTTTTTTAAAGTAAAGATTCTGATACAAGATGTTCAGTATATCCCTGAAAATATATATATATATATATATATATATATATATATATATATATATATATATATATATATATATATATATAT